GTGTGGACAAGTATAGACAAGTGTGGATAGCACGAACAGGTGTGGCCAGAATAAACAGGATACTGACAGATATAAACAGGAATAAACAAGTGGAGACAGCATAAAGAGTGTGGCCAGTGTAAACAAGTATGTACAAGAATAGCCAGTGTGGACAAGCATATATAGGTGTGAAAGGACCCAAAGTTGTGGACACACATCAACACGTGTAAACTGACATGTTTGCATGTGAACAGGTGGATGAGTGTAAGGTGAATCCACTTAGACATATGTGAACACACCTTGAAAGACATTCAAAAACATTTGTTAAAAGGATGAATGCGTGAATGAATACAGTGGCATGGTGATAGTGTGGGCTGGTGTGGCACCCACAAGGACCCGCCCATGAGTGAGGTTGGTACCTGACATGGTTCCAGCCTGGCCCCCTCCCCTCTGTGCCCACATTTACCCAGAATCCTCCTCGGCTCTGGGAAAGGGCAGGAGGCGGAACCAGCCATTGGGCGGCTTCTGCTGCAGGGTCTGCGGGGGGAACTCCACCTGCGGGAGACACACACACCCTCAACTAAGCTCTGCCCTGCCCTGCCCAGGTTCCACCCAGCCCTGGAAGAAGAGCTCAGACTGCCCACCCGTGGAGGGTCAGCATGGCCTGCCAGGGACCACCACCTCCTCCTTTCCCGCAATCATAAATTATTCACTCCTGCCAGGGCACTGAGGGCCTCCAGGGGACACTTCATTTACAGTTGAGGAAAGTGAGTCTCAGAGAAGTGGCGTGACTTGCCCAAGGTCACACAGCTGCTAGAGACATGTCTGGACTGGGTGTATTTTTATCTGTTTAGGACACAAATTGCATCTATCAAAATATCCAAAAGGCCCCCAAACACCATCCCCTCTTTCTTTTTAAGTAACAGCTTTATAGAGATATAATTCATATCCCACACAATTCACCTATTTAAAGTGTACCATTCAGGGTCTGACCAGTCAGCTCAGTTGGTTAGAGCACGTTGTTATAACACCAAGGTTAAGGGTTCAGATACCCATACCAGCCAGCCACCAAAAATAAAGAGTACAATTCAGTAATTTTTAGTATATTCACAAAGTTATGCAACCATTGCCTCTAATTTCAAAACATTCTTTGTCAGCCTCCTAAAAAAGCCTGGACTCGTTAGCAGTCACTCCCTGTCGCCACCCCAGCCCCAGCCCCTGGCAACCACTAAGCAACTTTCTGTGTCTATAGATTTGCCTATTATAGACATTTCATGTAAATGACATCATACACTACATGTTTGGGGGGACTGGCTTCTTCCACTCAGCATCATGTAATCAAGGTTCATCCATGTTGTAGCCCATGTCAGTACTTTATTCCTTTTTATGGCTGAATAATATTCCATTTATGGATAGACCACACTTTGTTTATCTGTTGATGGACATTGGAGTTTTGCTTTCACTCTGGGCTATTATGAATAATGCTGCTCTGAACATTTGTGTCAAAGCTTTTGTGTGAACTTGAGAGGAATTGCTGGGTCCTCTCCTAGGAGAGGAACTGCCAGACTGCTGTCCAAAGCAGCTGAGCCACTTTACGTCACCACCAGCAGTGCGTAACCGAGCCTCCCTCTTCTTTGCTCTAATCTTGCCTCCTTTTAAAAACCGTCAACCTATTGTAAATGTTGGAACCAGCCCAAATGTCCATCATCAGATGAGTGGATAAGAAAACTGTGGTATATCTACACAATGGAATACTACTCTGCTATAAAAATGAATGAAATACTATCATTCACAATAACATGGATGGACTTAGAGAAAATTATATTAAGTGAAACAAGTCAGGCACAGAAAGAGAAATACCACATGTTCTCACTTATTTGTGGGAGCTAAAAATAAATAAATAAATATACAAACAAATGGGGGGGGGAGAAGACACAACAATCACAATTCCTTGAACTTGTTAAGACAAGTGAACAGATATGATGTAGTCGGGGGAGTGGAGGGAGGAAGAGGAACGGGTAAGGGACACAGAAAAAAAATTATTTGCTTTACTCCCCCCAAAATAAAAATAAAATAAAATAAAATAAAATAAACTGTCAACCTGAGTATAAAGCTGCTTTCACATCCCCTCCTACTGAGGGGCAGGAAAGTCATACCCATTTTATAGATCAGAAAACCAAACGAAAGACATGGAGCCCAGTGTTTCCAGGAGTAGGAGTTACAGGCTTAGGTTCTGGAGTCAGAGAGACCCGAATCAAATCCCGGCTCTGCTATTTCTCAGGCATATGAACTTGAGACAGCCACTTAGCCTCTCTGAACCTCAGTTTCCCCTCTGTAAAATGGGGATAACAACAGTCCCCCACAAAGCAGCCATGAGGATTAAGTGAATGAGGTTACGGTAGAGAAGCACTCAGCACAGGGCTAGCGCACACTCATCCACATGCTCTTGTCCCAAAATGAGAATCTGGGCCTACCGTGTGATTTCAGGCAGGTTCCTGCACCTTTGAGAGTCTCAGTTTCCTCACCTACACAATGTAGCAATGGGAATCCATCATCCAGGCCTACCCAGGGAACTTATGAGGCGGCCTGAACATCTACCCTTCTAAGCCCCAGGATGCTCAGCCCATCTCTCCTTCCTTTCCCCTTGGAGGCCCTGGGGAGCCACAGAGGGTGTTGCAGGGAGCGATGCTGATAGAGTTTGGATGTGTTGTCCCCACCAAAACTTATGTGGAAATCTGATGCGCAGTGTGACAGTTTGAGTCACAGGTGTGGATCCCTCATGAATGGATTAGTACTCTCCCTAGGTGGAGGAGTAATGAGTGAGTTCTCACTCTATTAGTTCCCATGAGAGCTGGTTGTTTAAAAGACCCTGACACCTCCCCTCTCTCTCTCTCTTGCTTCCTCTCACCATGTGATCTGCTTGTACCCACCAGCTGCCTGCCACTTTCTGCCATGAGTAGAAGCAGCCTGAGGCCTGCGCCAGATGCAGCTGTCCCAGAACTGTAAGCCAAATAAACCTCTTTTCTTTATAAATTACCCAGTCTCAGGTATTCTGTTATAGCAAAACAAAATGGACTAATACAGAGGCTCACCATGCCCAAGAAATCATTCTTGCCCACCATGTCCCAGTCCCAGAGCTCCACTCGTAATGACGACGGGGCACCTGGCATCTCTCGCAGCTCCAAGACTTCATCCCAGTGCGGGAAGCGAGTCTTCTTGATGGTCTGAGGTAGGGGAAGTGGTCTGTGAGCAGGAGAGCTGAAGGGGACCCCACCCGACCACTGGATGTCCTGCTCCTTCCTGGCCCCACTCCCCACTGCTCACCGAGGTCTCCAAGCTCTGGCTGCCCCAAAACACACGTGCAAACGGGTCAGACGTGCCAGAGATGTCTCGGGGGGCCAGGTCCCTGGGGAAAGATGAGGAAAGGAGTGAGGGGACACAAGATCCTCGAGGACCAATAGCCAAGTTGGCTCTGGAAAGGGGATTCAGAGTAGATCATTCAAATGCCACTAGTTTCCAAGGCAAGGAACTGTTCCACCATAGGGGCCCAGCAAGGGGCACCTCTCACCATGCCTGTCCAGACCCAGTACCTTCCTGTTGCCTCTCACTGCCCTAGGAGGAGGCACTAGTATGTATGCCCCTATTTTCCAGATGAGGAAACTGAAGCATGGGAAGGTCATATTCTGCATCACAAAGCCCAGAAAGTGAAGGTGCAATGGGAAGGGCGAAGGTAGCCTCAGTTTCCCTGGATGCCCTAGATGGGAGACTAGATACAAGAGTTCAAAGCCTGTCTCACTTGTTGGGTGACACCAGGAAAAGTCACTTCACTTCTCTCAGCCTTAGTCTCCTTATCTGGAAAATGGGAACAATAACAGACCAACCTCAAAGAGCCAAAGGTTAAATGAGATGATGTGTGTAAAGGGCTTAGCACAGCCCCTGGCAGGTGGCGAGTGCTCAGCTCATTTATTCATTCAGCAAACATTCATGCCCATACCCTGCCTAGAACCCAAGAGAAGGCATGAGGCAGGGACCCCCTGCCTCTGGTTGCCATGACAACCCAAAAGTCTCACCCTAGTCAGTTTCCCTATGCCTCCTTTTTGAAGTCCCCAAATCCAGGAACATTCCCCACCCCCACTCCTCCACCAGGGACTGCTTGCTTCCTCCTTCTGCTCCTTTCCCTCCCCTGCTCAGCATCCAAAGCTGCCTTTGGTTTCCTAGGATCCAGCCCAGTTGCTAAGCGACAGCAATCCCTCTCACGCTTGCGAAGATCCCTCACAACCTTGTGACTGGGGAGGGGGCCATGGGCACAAAGCAGACAAGGAGCCCCTGCCTCATGCTGAGTCCTTTGGCCTGTCCTCTGCCTCCTTGTTTCTCCCTCATCCAGACTCCAGGGAGCCCCAGCTGGGGCCAAGACTGGGGGTGGAAATCTGGAGGTGGTGGGAGAGGCACAGAGAGGGCAAGGAAAGACTTTATGGTCACACAGCAAGCTAGAAATAGAGAATACTTCCAACCTGGGTGAAGATTGGTCTAAAAGTGACGGTTGGGGGAGTGAGGTGTGAAAAAAGGCAGGAAGACAAGATGGGAGATGAGAGGGAAAAAGGGGTGGAGGTGTTTAAGGGAGCAGAATGACTAAGGAAGGGAGAAGGGGACTACAGTGGTATGCAGGCAAGAGGGAAGATGGATGAATGGACCATGAGCTGGTGCCCCTAGAGGGCCATCTGTGGGTTCCGCTAGTCCTGCATTGTCTTCCTTCTTATTTCTCTTTGGGATAAGCCCTACCCCTCCTTTACTTCCAGCCCACATGACTTAGGTGGGCCAATCCTTCCTCCATTCCAGGAATAGGCTTGTGGCTTTGGCCTGACCAGTCAGTGCAATTGGTTCAGAGATAGGCATGTGCCCCAAGGGCTGGCTGGTTAGAGTGTGGTGCTGATAACACCAAAGTCAAGGCTTCAGATCGCTGTACTGGCCGGCCACCAAAAAAAAAAAAAGAATTGATTAATTCAGGACACCAGTTGGAGTAGTTATGGCAGTAGGATGCCAGCCTGGGGCTTCTAGAACAATCTCTGCTCCCAAGTGGAGAGAGGCTGCCTAAGAATGAAGCTAACACAGAGGGCAGCAGCACCAAAAGACAGACAGATTCCTGATGTCACCTGGATCCAGCTATGCCTGAAGCCACATGTCAGTCATATGAGCCAATAAACTAGCACTTCCGCTGAAGCCAGTATGAATTGGGTATCTGTCAGTTACAATTGGATTAATACACCTCCATACTCATTTGTCTGCCCATCCTAGTGTCTGGACTGTTCTTGCTGTATACCAGGGACCTAACAAGAATTTTGCCCCAAGGAACTTGCACTCCAGTAAGTTTGGCCTGTTTGTCTACACAGGGATCCTGACCGTGAGCCCAGAAGTGCTCCAGGAGGGAGAAGGTCCCAAAGGCCAGGCAGCAGGGGGACCCAAGGGATTCCTCCTCATTCTCAGACCACCCCCCACACACCTCCATCACGACCATACCTGGCCTGGAGCACATGGCAGCGGAGGCAGCGGCCCCGCACATCCTCCAGCATCTGCACTGCCAGGCAGATCTCACCCTGCACCTCCGCATCCGGGTCCACGCGGCTCAGGTTGATCCAGCTGTCGATCCCTGGAGGGCACAGGCACTAACATTTATTAAGCACTTACCGTGTACTAGGCACTGTGTTCACTTAAAATTCAATTAACATTAAAAATGTATTAAGTAACTGACTCCTCATGTTAGCTTCTGATGTACGGACTGCAATTATCCCCACTTCCAGATGAGGAACATAAGGTGCAGAGGGGAGGAGCTTTTCCCATGACCCCGCAGATATTAAATGGCTGAGCTAGAATTTGAACACAGGCAGTACAGTTCTAGGGCCAATGTTCTTAACCACGTGCTGTCCATCATTTGATCCCAACATACTCTCCCCTAAAGAAAACATATTGGGGCTAACAGTTAGCTCAGTTGGGTAGAGCGCGGTGCTGAAAACATCAAGGTCCAGGGTTTGATCCCTATACTGGCCGGCCAAGAAAAACAAATCTTGGGCATCATTTCTTTCTCTCTCCCCTCCCCTCACCCCCCCCTCTCTCTCTCGTTTCTCACTTTGCAGATACTGTTCTAGCTTCCATTGTAGCTATGGGGAAGTCAGCTTTCAGCCTAGGAGTTGCTCTTTTGTAAGTAGTCTCTTTTCTCTCTACTTTTAAGGACTGTGTCTTTGATGTTCTGCAATTTCACTACAATATGTTCAGGTAAGGATTATTTTAATCCTGCTTAGTACAGATTATGCTTCTTCTATTTATGGAAGCATGTCCTTTCTTTCATTCTAGAAAATTCTAGGCCAACTTTTTTTTTTTTTAACACTTTTCTTTCCCTAATTATTTTAAATTACTATTTCCTCTCCCCAATTTTATCTATTCTTTCCTTCCGGACCTCTAATTAAATGGATGTTAGGTCTTCACGTTTATTTTCCATGTCTCTGAACTTCTCTTTTATACTTTCCTGCTCCTTGTTTCTCTGAGATAAATTCTGAATAATTTATCTGGATCTTTCTCCCAGTTCACTAAGTCTCATTAGAGCTCTGAATGTTGTAATGTTTAATTTAGCCACTTAGTTCTTAATTTCAACAATTGCATTTGTCTCTAAAAATTTTATTTGGTTCTTTTTAAAATCTGTCTGTTCATTTTTTACTTTTATTTTTTGTTTGTTTTTTGTTTTTAGTGGCTAGCCGGTACAGGGATTGAAGCCTAGACCTTGGTGTTATCAGCACCAAGCTCTAACCAACTAAGCTAACTGGTTATCCTGCCTGTTTATTTTTTAATTTATTGCTGGCCTTTCTTGTGACTATGCATCTTTTATTTCTTTAAACATTCAATTCTTGGGGCTGGCCCGGTGGCGCACTGTTACAGTGCACCACTTGGGAGCACGGCGGCGCTCCCGCCGAGGGTTCGGATCCCACATACAGACCGGTTCCCGCTCACTGGCTGAGCGAGGTGCGGACGCGACACCGAGGGTTGCGATCCCGTTGCCGGACAAGAAAAAAAAAAAAAAACATTCAATTCTTTTAAAAATCCTGTATATACTAATTACAAAATCTAGTCTTTGTGGGTCTAAATCTGATGGTCATTATTTCTTATGACTCTTGTTCATGGTGGCCAATTTCCTTGTGTGTCTGGTGATCTTTGATTGTGAAGTCATTATTTGATCTTACTCTGTGGGAAACCCAAAGTGAGGATGCTTACCCCTGCAGAGCAGTGGTAGTTGCTTATTCTGGGACCCTTTGAGGGTCTCAGCCTAACGAGGAATTCCACATTTAGTAACATCCACTCTAGCCCAAGTTTGAGTCTCTTTGTTGACTGTAGAATGGATATTGATATTTGCTCTCAGGGAATTCCTTCCTTATTCCCTGGCTTGTGCTCACCACTCCCTGTTAGGTTTTAGCTCATGATTTGGTCTGTGGGAAATACTGAGGGATTTTCTTTCTTTACAGCAAGTCCAACAATGTTGAATCTGTTTAATTCAGAACCTCACTGTTATGTGGCAGGAGGACACTTGTGAGGATCTAGGCCCCCCATGCTGCTGGAAGTGGAAGTCTCATCTAACCTCTCTCTATCTCCACTGCTACCCCCTAGTCTAGGATGCCACCAGCTTTCTCTTGTTTGGTCATTGCAACAGACTCCTAACTGATCTCCCACATCTGCTCTCATCCCACTGAGATCCAGTGTCCACAAAGCAGCCACAGAGATCTTCTTAAAATGTATCCAACCTCTCTTATCACTCCATCTTCTGATAATATGACTTCATTCTCCTTACTGTCTTACTCAAGGACAATCAATGGCTCCCTATTGCCTCCAGAAGAAAGTCTATAGTCTGGCTGTGGCCTAGCCAGGATTGGAGACCTAGGGCCCTCTCCAATCAATTCCCACCAAGTGCTCCATCTGGCCTGACATATGCCTGATTCTGGAATAGAATTCAAACAGATGCACCTTAGCATCTTTGCCAAAGCACTTTAAAAATACTTAAGGTATTTTATTTTTCTTCTTCCTCCAGGAAGCCTTCCTTAACCACACTAGCTCTCACTACTTTTTTCTCATCTACTGTCATGCCAGTGACATTCCATATACCTCCACCTCCACATTTCTGTCCTGTTTTAAAAAATAAAAAGCACCCACATACAGATTCATGGACACTTTCTTTTCTTGTTCCCTGTTCCATGTAAATGTGTTTTGTTTTCCTATCTAGTCCATAAGCTTCTTGAAGCCAGCCTTCGTATTTCACTCATTTAATTCCACCCCTGTGGGTGGATGTTTGAGTCATACTGGGTACAGCTCAGTAGGCAGGTTGAGACACAGACTTTGGAGGTGGGTACCACTAGGGCTCAACTCCCACTTCCACAGCTTCTAGGAGGAGCAAGTCACCTTACTTTTCCAAGCCTCTGTAAACTGGAGATTATTCTAGTCCACACTTTACTAAGGTGTTGTGAGGATGAAATGTAAAGCACGTAGCATCATGCCTGGCATATAGGAAGCCCTCATTAAATAGGAGCAATGATTGTTATGATGGTTAGCACTTAACAAGTTCTCAACTAATTCCCACTGAAGAAAAAAATAGTTTATTTAATGAATGTTGAGATAATTGGTAGTCATCTAGACAAAAAGGAATAAAATTCAGTCTCTACCTCATACCTTATGTCTGGATAGATTCCAAATAGATCAAAGACTTAAATGTAAAAAAAAAATAAATAAATCAACAAACTGTTGCTAGAAGGAATCATATAAAAAAAGATTTTATCTTAATCTTAGAGTTGGGAAGGTTTGTTAGCTATAACAGAAAATTAAGAGGAAAAATAAGTAAATAAAGTTGACTAGAGAAAAATAAATTTTAAACAAAAAAATTATATACAAAGTCAAAATATAAGAGACAAAGGGAGAAAAAAATATTTGCAGCTAATATGGTAAAGAATTAATTTCCCTAATATGTAAAGAGCTCCTACAAATCAATAAGAAGAGGCAAACAACCCATTGGGGAAAATGCATATGTAATATGAATAGACAATAGACAGAAGAAGACATAAGAATATTCTTAAATATATGAAAAGGTTTTCAATCCCACTCATAGAGAAGTGCAAAATAATCTACACTAAGAGGCCATTTTTTACCTGTCAGATACAAGATCAAAAAGTGATCCTCGTCTGCAAGGGTGTGGAGTGGGTAAATTGCTACCTCCTCCATAGAGGGTTATTTTGGAAAAACTATCAAACATGCAAATGTCCATATTCTTTGATCCAGCAAACCCACCTCTAAGAATTTATCCAACATTGATATAACTTGAATAAGTGTGAAAACACATTTGTACAATGCTACTCATTGCAGCATCGTTTGAACTAGGGAAAGATTGTGAGCAATCGAGAGGCCACCAATAGGGAACTAGCCAAATAAATGATTGCACATCCACACAATAAAGTACCACAAAGTCACACAAAGAACATAGAATACGGAAACTCTTGGAGTGCTGATATGGAAAGATCTTGAAGAATTGTGGTGAAGTGGAAAGGCAAGGTACAGAACAGCGAGTGTGATAGGACACTACTCATGTAAGCAGAAAAAAACCCACACACAGAGTCTGGAACTAGACAATCCCGGTTCAAATCCTGGCCATCTCACTTAATAACTTTGTGATGTTGGGCAAGTCATTTAACACTGTGCCTCAGTTTATCCACCTATAAAGAGGACATAATAAGAGTACCTACCTCTTATTAGGGTTGTGATGATAATTAAGTGAGTTGATAGGGCCACCCCCCACGTAGAATATAAAGAACTTAGAAAGTGTTCAACGTACAGTAAGCACTATGTAAGTGTTTGCTACTATCGTTATTGCTACTTGCTTGTATGTGATTAAAATATCTCTAGAAGGACATAAAAGGAGCTTACAACATGGGGAAGGGAATGGAGTAGTTGGGGTGGGGGGGAGAGTTTCACTGCTTACTGTAAAATTTGGATACCAAACTATGTAAATGAATTAACTGCTGAACAAATCAACTGAATTAAAAATTAAAGACTAAAATAACACCGGAAATAATTTTCCACTGAAGGCTCTGTGCTTCTGGAAGCCACCTACTATGCCCTTTCAAATGCCCCCTCTGGGCATGGCCACCCCACCTTCCCTCTCTTTAGCTGGACCAGTGTCCCTCGCCCACCTCGGGGGTTGGCTGCAATGGCCTCCTTGCTCAGCGAGATCTTGCCAATGATGTCGTCGTGCCTGCAGAAAGCGGGGCAGGTAAGGGTCTGAGTCAGGGACCCTCAACCACCCACAGAGTAGTGAGGGCAGGTGTCAAGGGCTGGTGGGGGGGCATTTGGCTATAGGGTGTGACCTCACATCCCACCTCCCCTCAGATGCCCAGGCGTGGGTCGCCAACACACACACGCCACCTGCCCAAGCCACACACCCAACAGTGTCCTCGTCCAGCACGTAGAAGGCCAGATGGTGGAAATCAAGGGGTAGATGCACAGTGTACTCCTCCCCCCAGAAGGGACTCAGGCTCCGCCAAACAGTCGCTGTCCTGAAAAAGAGGGTGCAGGGGGTTGGGGGCCCTTGGGCTACAGAGGTGGTGGATAACTGGGGATCCAAACACACACACACACACAGATCTAGACACATGTGAACTCAGAGACCCCCACACAAACACAGCTAGGGACCCAGACATACACACACCCAAAGACTGGTACTCTACATACACACACACCTAGATCCTAGATACATATCCACCCAGGGACACATATGTACAGGCACACAAACACCCATGAACCCAGGCATAGAGACACATACAAACCCACCCACAGACCCAGACACTCACACACCCAGAGAGTTGGACACACCACCAGAGATCTCAATATGCATACACACACACACACACAAAGGTACGTACTCAGTGGTCAAACACATACATAGTACTACATACACACACAAGGGCCTCAATACACACCTAAGGGCCCAAATACACACAGAGTGACCAAAAGACACACATAGAGACCCACAGAAACATATGTGCAAATACACACACACACGGATACACAGTGAGACAGACACTCACAGATACACCCAGAAAGCCACAGACACAAAGAGGTACAAATACACATATGCCCCCTCCGAAATTTCTAAAAACACATATCTATGTGTTTATAAATACAGACCTATACAGATAGACACAAAGAAAACAGACAAATTCACACAAATAGACACAGGCCCAGAACACGGAGACATACACAGAGAAGAGCCCCATAGACACACTCACACACATACAGTGATACATGGCAGATACACACAGGTCCACACACACACACACACAAACACAGTCACTGACACACACGCACAATTCTATTTATTCATTTATTCACTCCACAGACATCCACCTGGACCATGGGCAGAGCCTGTACTGGGCTTTGGGGAATCAGAGGAAGCGATGCCAAGGCTCTGCCCCCCCAGAGTCCCCTCCACCAGCAGGTGCTCTCTCCCGAGCTCTTAGGACACAGCGAGAGAAGTCCTGTGATTGAGGTTAGCTCAGGGGTGCCTGGTGGGGTCTGGGGTGTGAGGATAGGGAGGTCAGGGAAGTCTTCCTGCAGAAGCTAGTTAGGCAAAGGGGGAAGAGATAATGAGGACAAGTATTCCAGATGGCTGGAACAGCATGAGCAAAGGCCCTGAGGCAGAAATGAGCTTGGAGAACAAGAAGGTGCCCGGTAGGACTGGGAGGAGGGTGAGGGGCCAGGAGACCATAAGGTCATCAGGGCCAGAGCACACAGGAGTTTACAGCCTGCAGTAAGCAATGGAGAACGACAGGAGGTTTAGGGACTAAGACAAGCCCAGAAACACACACACACACACACACACACACACACACAGCATCTCTGCCCTGACACCCCTGTAGACACATTTCTCTTTACCCAATGGGGAACAAAGAATCTACTTTCCCCAGTGAAGACACACCTGAATTTACAGCTGCAAAATTTGATTCTCACTCACACCTGTTGCTCCCTTCCTCCTTTCTCTCACCATACTCCCTGCCAGCAGGGTGTGCACACACATGCACACCCTGCCCTTTCCACCGAGACCAGGTACACCGCCATCAGGTGGACCCTTACAGCTTCCTCCCAGACACTCTCTTTCCCCCACCCAGGCTTTTCCCAGCTACTGGCCCCTTCAGGCTCCCCAGCCCCTGCGCTGGGAGACTCCTCACAGCCCAGACAGGGGGAGACAGCAGCCTGGGGTCACACAGAAAGTCAATCTGTGTGTTTGGGAGCATGTCACAGAATGGGGCAAGGGGTCACATGAGCACAGGAAGAACGAGGGAGGGAGAGTCAGTTGGTGTGCTGCAGCTGACCCTCCCCCATACAGCTCCCCACCCCCAGATCTCGGCCCATCTGGACCAGAACTGGCGCCAGGAGCATCCTGAATCCTGCCGTCTCCATAGGAACCAAGGTCTTAGCCACCAGCCCACCCACCCCCCTCGGCCTGCAGGGGTGTGAGCCAAGCACGACCCAGTCTGATGCCCCCTCCAAGGCTCACTCACACACCGAACATCCTCACATCCTCACTCACATGTGTTTATACCCACACCTGCATGCCCACATAGGCTGGCATCAGCACTCACGTGTGTGTACGGACAGCCCATGTGCACATGCACACACACACGCCCCACACTGGTACACACACATGAGCCTGTGGGCCTGCACTCCCAGGAACACGCACACTTGGCCACAGGCATTCACACCAGCCCTACAACACCCCCATGCACACTCACGAGCAGGCCCAGCTGGGCAGACACACACACACACACACACATGTGCCCGTGCACACACACATGCCACAGTGCCCGCAGCACCCAGCAAGCCCGGAACCAGCCAGTCCAGCCAAGCGTGAGATGCCCGCCCCCGGGGAGGCCACTGTGGGAGGCACAGGCTGGCAGCTGCTGAGTCAGCCCAAGGGAGCTGGCAGGGACACCATTGGGTCGAGAAGGGGAGGGCATCCACCCTGTTGGTGGGACTGGATGGGGACAGGAGCTGCCAGCCCCAGGGCACACAGCATCCACCTTCAGGCCCACAAGTACTCCTTGGGGTAAGCATTGCCTCCCCCAGCTCCTCTTTCAAATGTGAATTCTTGTTCCTGGATTCCCCAGGTCTAGAAAGAACGCCTCCACCCCCTGCTCCCTTTGTCCCAGGCCTGGTGTCTCCCCTCCTCACCTGGCCACCACCTCGTCGTCCACTTTCACTAGGCAGTAGGGGTCACTGCTCCCAGACCTGCGGAAGGAGGAGGTGTGGGGGGAGGGTGGAGAGGGCAGCCATGGATCGTGGGTGGGGGGTCCCAATCCATCTTTGTTATACAGATAGAGGAGACCGAGACCCAGAGAGGGGAGGGGACTTGCCCAGCGTCACATAGCAAGTCCAGCTAAGAGGCAAGTCCTGAGGGGACCAGTAGGAGAGGTCATGGCTGCAGGGGCCACCCATTCAGTGTGTGCCTGATCCACCATATACATGAGCTCTGCATGGGCTTCCACTTACAGAAATAGAACACTGAGGCCTGAGGCCAGAACGTTTAGAGTCCTGACCGGGGCCACCCATTCAGTGTGTGCCTGATCCACCATATACGTGAGCTCTGCGTGGGCTTCCACTTACAGAAATAGAACACTGAGGCCTGAGGCCAGAACGTTTAGAGTCCTGACCCCAGAAAGCTCAAAGCAGTGGTAAGAACATGGGCTAGGGAGCCTTCACCACCACCGTCTAGCTGCATAACCTTGGCAAGTCCCCTCCCCTCTCTGGGCCTCGGTTTCTCTGCTCTATTTTCAGGCATAATGTTAACACACACCTTGTCAGGTTTAGTCTTCACCACCACCGTCTAGCTGCATAACCTTGGCAAGTCCCCTCCCCTTTCTGGGCCTCGGTTTCTCTGCTCTATTTTCAGGCATAATGTTAACACACACCTTGTCAGGTTCCTACACAGGAACTGAAGGAGACACTACATGGTGGGATGGATCATGGGCTGGGGCCAGAGCTCTCCCTGCCCAGCGGCCTTAACAGCAGCACCCTCTGGGATAAGCACTGCTCTCCCAGCTTTCATTTCAATGGGAGTTTTCCTGGGGAGGGGGCCCCTCATTCCTCAGCTCTCAGAATGGAAGGCCCTGAGCAGATTCTCACTGCAGACACAGACCAGGGCTCCCAGACCTCAGAACTGAACCAATAAGAGATGTGCTGCATCCCCTTGAGTAGTCATGAGCCATCAGCTAACCAAAGCCAGCTCCAACCCCCTTCATAATAAGAGTGATCAGTAAACCCAAGCTGTCTACCAGGGCCCCTTATTTCCTCCCCCATCCCATCATCCAGGTCTCCTTTGTCTCTCACAGAGCTCGTGCCAGCCTCAGGGCTTTTGCACTTGCTGTTCCCTCTGCCTAAGACACTCTGTCCCTGATCTTGTCATGGCTAAGTTTTTACTGTCATTCAAACCTCAGTCCAAAAGTCATCTCCTCAAAGAGGCTGTCCCTGATCACCACTGTCCTGTCTAAAAATAGTCCTCCAACCCACTGAGCACCTTAAATCATCCGCTCCTTTATTTCTCTGTTTAGTACCTGTCTCCCCACCTTCCTGAAACTTCCAAATTGTGAGCTCCTTGGGGGACAGTCTGTGTCCCCATCTCCTTCTCCTCCCACCTGGATGTAGTTGGCCCTCCATAGAAATTTCTGAATGAATGGATTTGTAGAGTGCTTTCTCTGGAGGCAGAAAATAATGGCAGACACAGGATTCAAGCCCAGGCCTATGGGGTGCACGCTCATGCTCCTAATCAGTGCCTGCTCTATACCCATCCAAATGGTCCTCTCCCTCGACGCCACAGCAACCACTCTCTCTATCTCTGCCACCCCCTCTCTGATCAGTCTGTCACAGATCCACAAATGCCTCAGGGAGTCCCGGAAAGAGGGACATTGGCACTAAGAGCCAGCTCCAACCTGAGCCTTATCTGGCTGGATGAGCCCTTCCCTGTGCCTCAGTTTCCCTCTCTGGACTCCTTCCCTCGGTCTCCTCCGGCTGGATGCTCCAATGCCTCCATTTCATGATCTGGTTTCTATCCGTGAACACTTTAGACTGGATGATGACCTGTGTCTCCATATTCCTCTCTGGATTTCACCTCTGAACTCCCTTCAGTGTAGTGCCCCAGACCTCAGTTTCCCCTTCTGGGCTCTACCCCCTGGACACTTATGGCTGGGTAATGCCCTGTGTTTCAATTTTCCTCTCTGGGTTCCTATCCCTGAGCTTCCTTTAAGCAAGCTCCCATTCCTCAGTTTCCTCACTTGGAGATGTGGGGTCAGATTTGCTGGGACCCCACTAGCTAACGGCTGGGAAACACCCCCCCCCATTGACCTGGCCTGACCCCCAGACCCCTCCTGGGAGCCAAACCCAGCACGTCAACTCCAGGGCTTTGACGCACAAGGGCCTTATCAGGCCCCTATTAGGTAGGGGCAACGGTGGCGGTGGCAGGAGAGGGTGGCCACTTCTAGAACTTTGATCTCTCCAGACTCTTGGCCTCTCCCACGGTCCCTGCCCCAGCTCAAGCATGGGAAAGCAGACTCCTTAGCCATTGCCTGCCCAGTTTGGTTTGTGCATGGAAGCAGTCAGAGCTCAAATCCTAGCTGTGAGACCTTAGGCAAGTGACTTTGCCTCTCTGGTGTTCAGTTTCCCCATCTGTAAAATGGAGATGCCAAAAGAACCATAAGAAGTGTTAAGCACAGGGCCTGTTCCATCGTAAGCCCTGAAAAACCAACAGCTAGTATTATTAATAATAGAAATAACTTTAAAATTATTTGCTGAGGCCTCTTCTTTGGCCAGAGTGGACCCTCTTTAAACCTGGCAATGCTTCGGGTAGAGTCTGGGCCCTTTCCTTTAGGAGAGGAGAGAGAGAACACACCCCATCTAGAAGCCCCCATGGGTATGGATATCCCATCACGCTCTGAGAAGAGCTTCTCTGAAGAAGGGAACTGACAGCTAGGGAAACTGAGGTAGGGTGGCTGGATCCCCAGCTGGAGTTTAATGACTCCTCCTCCCCACCCTTGTTCTGGGACACGGCCCACCTCAGAGCTCACCTTGAGACTGGGGGGTGGCGGGGTGGCCAAGAGGTGCAGGAACCAACCCATCTCCCTTCTCAGGAGAAGCAGAAGGAGCCCTGAGCCAGCGTCTGGGCCCAGAGGCGACACCTGCCACCCTACCCCTCATGACCCCTTGCCTGGGACTGGTGGAGAGGCCACAGCTCAGCGAGATGGGAACACAGTTTCTGGAGAGGACCCCTTCAGCCCTCCAGCAGCTTCCAGGCCTCCAACGTGGCCTCATGATGCCCCGATAATTCCAGCATCTTTAAGTCTTGGGGGCTCTGGGGGGTCATCTCAGAAAGACTGTGGCGGGGACTTGTCCAGTTGCTGTATTCGCACAGCAAGCTCTCTGCTTTTATTTCAGGTGCATGTTTATTTGGGTTAGCTGAAGAGGATGGGGGGTGACTAAAATTGCTATAAACAGCTCCCCCCTTGACACAGATGCAGTGTTGGGGGGTGGGGAGTCATGAAATGAGAGGCAGGATACTCCTCACTGGGAACACTCAGCTTGGGAAGTTAGTACTTAGCTAAATCCCAATCCCAACCTCGACATGGGCGAAGCCTCCAAATCCATGTTCCTGCTCCCATGTTCCTTATCCCTCCTACAGGGTAAATCCTAACAGGTCCCCTATTTTCCCAGCTGGATGTGAGGCCCTGTTGATTCAGATGGAGACTCCCACCCAGAGCTCCCACTGCCCAAATAAGAAAGGAAGGCCCAGAGAGAAACAGGTTCAAGGTCACCCAGCAAATGTCCTCCCAAGGATCCCACACCTGTCTCAGGTGCTGACACCCTCAGAGCCCCTTCTGGGCTCCAGGCCAAGCAGGAGGGGAAGCACCCCCCATTCTGCTGATTCAGCAACTGCTGACTCAGCCCTGGGAAGCACAGGCCAGGGACCAGAGCTGAGGAGAGCCCAACGGTCCCCCAGCCCCCATCACACCTGGCTGGGGAGGGGGCTGCAGGGGGGAGTTAGCTCCTCAAGCGGCTTAGCATCCAGGGAAGGCCTCCTCTGGGCTGAGAGCTACAAGACTGGGAAGCTCAGGGCTCTGGGTCAGAAGGACCCCAGAGGGCCACCTGGTGACACTCTGCAAACCTAAACACCAGATGCACACAGAATGTTGGAACCCACATGGATCCTGGGCCCTCTGGGCTCCTCCCCAGGTTTCCCTTGATAGGCCCCCCTACCCAGGCCTGGAGAAGCCTCACCTCCATCAGCTGCCTGGACTAAGGAAGAGACCCCTCCCCAACCCTCTCTGCAGCTCTAACATAATCAGACCCTCTTCAGCACTGCAAGACCCCGTTTAGTACATCCCGGGAACAAAGATACCCCCCTTTCCGGACGGCAGGGCAAGGCATCTGTTAAATCAGGGTGCCCCCTCCCACCAGGACAGCCAGGAGCATGGGGCCTCTCGCCAGGTGAAGGCGGACCTGCCCCAACACCGGGTCTGAGACAAGAACCCTCAGCCGTCCTACCCACCCGCCCTGGCACGGGGAATGGCCAACCCGGCCCCACCCATGCCGGGAGCGCCCCTCACCCCCGAAGCGCCCCGGGGGTACTCACACGTCCTTGGCAGGCAGCGCCCGGCCCTCCACCACGCGGACATTCAGGGAGCTGCTCTTGGCCATGGCATCCAGCCTCAAACTTTCCGGGCAGGAGAGCACCCAGGTTCCGAGGCTAGACCGGGGCGTCTACATGTCACCAGCTGCGAGCCTGGAGCCCTGCCCCGGGATCCCAGCGCCTCCTGTACCAGACGCGGATAGCTGGATGGGAGGTGTCCGAAGAAGAAATAGGTGTCCGGGGGGGAGCGCCCGCCCGGACTCTACAGGTAGAAGCCGTGCTCCGAGCAGGTGGAGCGCGCAGGGGACACCGCAGGTTCTTGCCTCTGAGTCTGGAGCTCGCGGCCAGCGGGCTGGGCGGGCAGGGGGCGGGAGGCGGCGGCCCAAGGCCCTCCCCTCCAATCCCGCCTCCCGCGGGGTCCCCCGCCCATCCCCGGACCCCCTCTCGCGCCCCCTGCCGGCACCCCAGTCTTACGCGCCAGAGCGCCCCGGCCGTGGAGACCAGGGCGCGCAGAGGCTGGCACCGCCAGGTGGGGAGGGGCCATGATGGTCCTGATGGGCGTGGCCGCTAGCTCCTGGTTAGTTGGCGCTGGGCTCAAAAGACACAGTGTGTCCCCTGCCTGCCCCACATCCAACGCATTCACACCTCCCCGGCCCTCCCCTGCCTACCATCCAGGCACCGCCTCCTCGGTCCGACCTCGGCGCCTGTCCAGGAGCAGTATCCTCGGTCGGCGGGAGGCGTCGCTAGAGGGAGTCGCACATTCCCTGGGGGTCCGCTCAGAGTCAAGGGAGGGGCCTCGAACATCTCCTTCCATCTCCTTTTAGTTTCCAATTAAACCCAGACTGTGGGAGAGCGGCTGTTCTAACGTCACGGGCTGGCACTGCGGGGGAGGAAATTGCGGCCGGAGGGGGAGGGGTAGGCTTGAAGAGAACCACGACAGAGATGATAAAAGTCGTCTGCAATTGTTTGAACACTTACTGTACGCCAGGCACTGTTCTAAACGTTTTGCAGGGATTATCTCATTTGCGTCTTCACCATAACTCTGTGTCCCATGCACTATTGTACTATTATCTCCACTTCATGGGTAAAGAAACTGAGGTTCAGAGGGGTTAAATAGCTTAGCTGAAGTCTGACAGTGTGGAACTGGTTTGCCTTCGTGGACTTTCATCCTGGCTCTGCCATTTGGTAGTTGTGTGGGTTGGGACAAGTCACTTAACCTCTATGTGCCTTGGTTTGGTTTTCTTATCTGTCCAATGGGGATGACATGGTTTCTCAATCACAGGACTTTGAATTAAATGAGATAATGCAGAAAAAACTCTCAGAACAATGAAAGGCACCTAATAAGCTTTCAGAAAGTGTTTGATTTTTATTATTGTTCCTCAAGGCATGGCTCAAATGTCACCTCTTCTGGGAATTTTCCAGGATGTCCTTCCACCTCAGGCAGAGATTTTCTTCTTTTTCTCTGCTCCCACAGCTCCAGGTTTGTACACATTTTAAGTTTTAGATCAGATAATGTGACCGAAAGAGCCTGTCCCAGGGCAGACGCTCTCACACACTTATTTCTCCCTGTGAGTTTGTTGTTACCTGCCTAAGAGCTGTTGGAAGGGCTAGTGCCCAGCCTGCCCCACTCTGGTCCATTCAGGGCTGGGCACCAATGGAAAGGCCCCTGCAGAAGGAGTACAGGAGCCTACACCCAGACCGGCAGGACCGGCAGCACCCTGCCCAGCTGCAGGAGCAAGGTCTGCTTCTCAATCTCCCTCCTTGACTCCCCACCCAGCACCCTAGCCAGGCTGGTGAAGGATTGAGAGCTTTGTAATTCTCTCCCTAGCTGGCCTGGTGAGTCCTCCAGTCCCCAGACACTGGGCCTCAGCTACCTAATCTGGGAAATGGGACTAGTAGAATGGGCTGCAAGGCTTAGAAGTATTGCTACATTCTCCGCAGGGGATGAGGGGTAATTCAGGGTTGGATCCAGAACAGTGGTAGTAAAGGAATAGTTAAAGCCCCCTCCCCGACTCGGGCTGTGATTTTTATCACTCACCCCGGATCTTCCCCAAAGTAAATGTATAATCTAGGAGGAAATGGTACTGGCTATATGACTGCAGCTTCAAGACAGGTGTCCTGTGTCACTACCCCCCCACACACACCCCCGACACACACACAGCTGGGTGGGAGCATCTGGCTTAAACTTTTTCTCCTGGAAGGCTGCAGAGACCTCAGAACGGGCCATGTCCCCCAACCCGGGGACCCCTGATGGAACCTGACGGGCCTAGTCCTGAGGCCTTGTGGGATGCCAGCCAAACTGCCACCCAGCCATCTTGGCCCATCTTCCGGAGCTAAGCAGGAAGTCACATTCCCCAACACCCCTCCCAGGCCCCCAGGGAAAATTAGCAAGGCTATAGACTGCCAGCCAGGTCTCCAGGGAACCAACTCTGTCACCTGTCTAATATCCGGCGTCTGACCCCATAATTTGCCTGGGGCAGTGGCCACACTACCCAAACTTTCTGCATGGCCTGGCCACTTCCTGTTGTTCTGAGAAGCTATGAGCTGAGACTGGCAGGGAGTTGGAGGTCTCCTAGGGCAGCCCCTGTCAAGGGACTAAAGGGGGAAAAGTGGCCCAGAAAGGGGGTGTTGACTAGCTAGGGGAGGGAGGCTCATTGTTCTCATGGGGCAGTTATGAGAATTAATCACAAGGGCAGTGTAAGGCACCTAGCACATAGTAGGTGCTCAAGAAATGGTCAGCTCCCTCCCCCTAAGCTCCTTAAGCTTTTTTGGGTTTGTTTTTTGGTGGCTGGCCAGTATGGGAACCCTGAATCCTTGATGTTGGTATTACAAGGCCAGTACCCCCCCACCTCCCACCAAGCTCCTTAAAGGCAAACGCATGATCATCTTCTTGCCAAGTTCCTGCATAGCTGTGCATCTATGGGGTGCACACAGCAGGTGCTTCACAAAGCCTTAAGTGGAAGGAAATGCTGAGCTCAGGGTTTAGGAGCAGAGGTTTTAGAATCAGGCTGACCAGGGACTGAATTGTGGTACCTACACTTTTTAGCTGGGTGCTCTCAGGCAAGTGAGTTACTCTCTCAGTGCCTCAGTTTCCTCATCTGTAAACTAGGGATAATAATTACACCCACCTCATAAAATGTGTGGGAAGCTGGAAAAAAATAAGTGCCAGATATTTAGCACAGCCGGGCATACATCAAGTGTTCATTTAGCATCATGGCCATCACGGGACATCCTGATCCCACCCTTGTGCCTGATACTGAGCCCCACTTGGTACCTTCACTTTGAGCACTGGGTCCTGAGGACATCGCCAGGGTGGAATGCCAGGCCCAGCCCTGAATTCCAGGGATGGATGGAGCACCACACTTCAGTGGCCAGTGCAGTTCTGGACTGCTGAGTTGGGGGAATCTGGGGATTTTTGCCCTGGCTGAGAAATCTGATAGAGAGATCCCAAGATCAGGGCTCCTGCCACCCCAGTGGGCCCCACTTCCCAGGACTGGCTAAGTTTCTCCTTCATGTGAGATGCTGGACCTGGGGCCAGGGAAGGCTCACATACACAGAATAGAGAGGGCTCCTTATCCCAGAGTTGGGATCAGGCCTGGGCACCAGGAGGGAGCGCTGGAAGCTGCTCTCAACTGCTCATAAGAGCCAGCTATGCACGTGACTTTGCAACCCCATGTTCAGTAACACCACTTTGAAAACTTGAAATTGACCATGGTAGGGGAATTTACACCATGGAACTTAGTGACCAGTATAACTTTTTTTTTTGAATTTTACCAACACACCACTGAGCGGGCACAGGATTCCCTGGCCACATCGCCCTCTAGACACTGCTCCTGAACTCAACACCCTTAAGACTTTTCGCATATCCCCCACCCTACCGCCACACTGCCTTTCCCTGATCAGTTCCTTACATCAGGAAAGCCATTACATTCGCTTTTCCACCTATTTACTTGTTTAGGTCCTCCAGACACAATTGAATAAAGATTACGAGGAATAGGGTGAAATAAAGTACAGATGTCAATGTAATATCAATAGAATGGAGTACTATATGGCTGTCAAAAAGGATGCTCTTAAAGAATATTTAATGACAGGAAAATACTAAAAAAAATAAGTTGTGGGGGGAAGAAACAGTACATACAACCATATATACAGTATGATCCTGATGTCATAAAATAGTATACATATATATGTATAATATTATTTTATTATTTGTCAAATGTGTGTTGAGCACCTACTACGTACTAGGCAATAGGGATACAGTGAGGTATAAGACAGCCCTGCTTTGCTTGGAAAACAGACAAAATTGACACACAGCTAAATAATACACTCTCAGAGAGCAGGAAGACATGTGAAGTTGATAAAGCAGGGATGGGAGGTAGAGCCAGAGCTGGAAGGCATAATGGCATGTGTTTCTTTTATAATAGAAAAATAATTGGTGCTTCTCCCAGTTTCTAAAAGAACCACTGTCCTTTATTCATAGCTCTGCTCACTGCCTCTAGGAAGCCCTCACAGAGGGGTGTGAAGGCAGCGACCCCCTCCCCCTGCCCCCTTGGCACCACTGTGTGACCTTGGTCTCTCTTCTTTTGTTTTGTGGTGATTTGCATGATTGTCTTATCTTCTAAATGTCAGGGACAATGTCTGATTCATTCCCCGCCTCCCACACCGCTTGGCACATGAGAAAGACTCAAAACACACTTGCCGGATTAAATAGAATTCAGTTCCCCTCAAGGGCTGGAATTGGCCTCTCTCGCTGTGATAATAGTCATATTATTTTTTACTTTCTCTCTCTCCACTGTGCCTAGGATGGTCGCTTAATCATTGCCAATTTACCACCTGCCAATTCACCTCCACCCCCAAACCCAGAAGGTAGACCTGTCTGTCTCTAGGCCTCAGTTTCCCCTCCTGAGAACTGGCACCATCCCTTCTAGGGCCACGACCCAGGCAAGGCAGACAAGGGCCCTGGCCCAGGTTGGGGGTGAGGAGCGTGTTCTTTGTCTCCAGAACACAAAGCCCCATTTGTGAGTGCCTAGGCATGATTCTGGGCAGAGAGCCATGTGGGACAGGAGGCAGCGGTGGGAGGAGTGGGCAGGATTTCCCAAACGCCCTCCTACGGGCTGGCTGCCAGGAAGCAGGGCCCAGTAAGTCCCCTCCTCCCAGGTCCTGAAAACAAGGTGTCTCAGTTGGCAACCAGCTTCCTTCTTCCTCACCCAACTCCCCAAAGTGCCCCCCCCACCCCAGCCTTGGAATGGAGAAGTAGGAAGGGGGAAGCCATGAAGCATGACACTGGGGGAGGGGGCAGCTGAGAAGTTGTGTCCTGCTGTCATTGAGCAGCCCCACCCATCCCATCGCCCAGGAGGTGGGGACAGAGACAGGCAGGAGGCTGAGCTGTGGGAAGAGGGGGGAGGGGAGCTGGGACCCTGTCTCACAGCATGGCAGGGGAGTCCCAAGAAGACTTGGGAGCAGCATCCCTGGCTGAGGCCAGGGTGGATTGGCTGGCTGCAGAGCTAAAGCCGTAGCAGCAGCCTTCTGAAGACAAGTTGTTTATGTAGGGACCTTCCCTCCTCTAAGCCATGAGCAGTTTCAGGACAGAGATGGGTTGAGTTATCTCTATATAAACAAACACCAGTCCCCATCACTTCTCAGTCATGTGTCCTCAGAGGAGTCAGTTAATTCCCAGTGCCTGTTTCCTCTTCTGTCACTTGTAGCAGAGATCTGGCCTCTCCTTGGCCCTATCCAGTACAGATATATCCCAGCATTCTTGAATTCTGCACACAAACCTACAGACCTTTGTTCTCTTCTAGGAGGATACACACCCTCCTGCCTCAGGGCCTTTGCACATGCTGTTCCCTCTACTTGGAACACTCTTCTCTACTCAGCCTCCTCTACTCATCCTTCAAGTCTGACTTCACATGTCACTTCCTTCTCCCTCACCCCGTCCTTGCTCTCTAGACCTCTCCTCCTAACCCTCATCACAGCATAATGACATATTTTCAGGGTTTTTTGATTCATCTGACCTCCCCATTGGCCTATAAGTACCACGAGGACAGGTTTTTGCTTTGTCTACTGCTGTATCCCCAGCATCTAGCACAGTGCCTGGTACATAACGGGTGCTCAATAAATATTTGCAAAAGCCATCTCTAAAAGAATAGAAAGTAAGGGCTGGCCAGTTAGTTGGTTAGAGAGCAGCATTGTAACACCAAGGTCAAGAGTTCAGATGCCCATACCAGCCAGCCACCAAAAACAATAATAGAAATTAGGAGGGGAAGGATGCCTACCAACTTCAAATGATGACACCCTCTGAGGAGGGAAGAAAGGGGAATGGGACTGAGGAGGGAAAGATCCAAGAAGGGCTCAACCATATCTGGAGTGTCATGGTTAAGAGGGTGGACTCCACATCCAGATGGCCGGAGTTCAAACTCCACTTTACACTGAACACGAAAAGCACAATCCATACAAGGAAAAGGCAGAAAATTTGACCTCATCAAAATTTTAAAGTTTGCTTTCCAAAAGACCACATGAAAAGGATGAAAGACAAACTCCAGACTGGGAGAAAATATCTGACAGAGAACTGCCTAGAACATCTAGATATATATCAACTGGGAGAAAATATCTGACAGAGAACTGCCTAGAACATCTAGATATATATCAACTGGGAGAAAATATCTGACAGAGAACTGCCTAGAACATCTAGATATATATCAACTGGGAGAAAATATCTGACAGAGAACTGCCTAGAACATCTAGATATATATCAACTGGGAGAAAATATCTGACAGAGAACTGCCTAGAACATCTAGATATATATCAACTGGGAGAAAATATCTGACAGAGAACTGCCTAGAACATCTAGATATATATCAACTGGGAGATATATTTTTTTGAATGGAAAAATAAATTATTTAAAATAGAAAGAGGCGCTGGCTGGTAACTCAGTTGGTTAGAGCGTGGTGCTGATAACACCAAGGTCAAGATTTTGGATCCCTGTACCGGCCAGCTGCCCCCCTCCAAAAAAAAGTTTAAAAAAAAATTTTTTTTTTTTTAAAGATGACCAGTAAGGGGATCTGAACCCTTGACTTGGTGTTGTCAGCACCACGTTCACCCAGTGAGCTAACCGGCCATCCCTATATAGGGATGCAAACCTGTGGCCTTGGTGTTATCAGCACCACACTCTCTCAATGAGCCACGGGCTGGCCCTTAACAAATTTTTTAATAAAAAAAAAAATAGAAAATGAAATCATCTGAAACAAAGAGGACAGATGCTCATGTTTATTACTTCCAGATGGGGGACCCATGCGTATTTTTTATATCACTCTGGGTTCTTTTCCCTAGTACCCCACAGGGCTGTCTTAAGGATTAAATTAGATACTGTCTATAGGTAGAGTGCTGAGCAGAGTGTTTGACTCACAGTAATTGCTCAAACTATCTCAGCTCTTCCCTTACCCTCATCCTCCAAGTCCAGACCGTCAGTCTCTTCCAAGCTTGTCTCCACCAGGTGGTACTGATGGTCTCTCTTTCTTTCCTTAATCAGGCTGAGGGCTCCATGAGACGTGGCCAGGGTTGCCCCATCACCAGCACAGCAAAGAGCTGAAACATAGTAGGCCCTCAGTACCTTTCCCTGGAGTGAATGACTCTGTTCAGCGCCTGGAAAACAGTGGGTGACCAATGATTATCCTTTTGAGCTGCTGACTGAACACACAGCCACGTTAGTGAGGCCCACTCTCACCCAGTCAGGAAGAGGCTTGGCCAGACGTGGGGCTCCAAGAGAAGCAAACTGTTGGCCAAGGGACCAATGTCCTCTCCACTGCACATCAATGTAGATGGGGAGGTAAAGGCTCTCTGGGAGAGGCAGAGGTTGCTTCGCTCCCCTCAGTCTCCTCCCTCTCCCTCTGAGAGCGGATTTCCCAGGCTGTGCTTGGCCAGGCAAGGAAATGTTGTGTTGCTGGTTACCTGAGCAACCAGGACCTGCTCGGTGGCTGCCTTCTGGGAGTACTGTGCACGCGGCCGCAGCACCCTCCATCAGGATCCCCCGAACCCCCCCAGGCTTGTGCAAAACTCCAGCCGGTGGGAATAAAGTTCAGGCAAATGCCAGAAGAATGGCGGTGCCCTGGGAAGAATATTTTCGACTGGATTTGCAGGAGAAGCTGCCTTCGTGAGTAGTGGGTAGACACAGGGAGGGCTGGAAGGAGGCTGGAGTGGGTGGATGGCCCATCTTTTCTGCCCCACCCCCTGGGTCCCACCGTCTTTGGGCAGTTCACAGTGGGGGATTACTGCCCCCCCTTCACAGAGGAAGAAACAGGCTCAGAGAGAAACGTTGTCTTCCCTAAGGTCTCAGGGCTAGTTAGGGCAGAGTCGAGCCAATTGTCCAGGTCTCTTACCTGTTCCTTATCCCCACCCCAGCTGACATCCAGCTGAGATTCGGTCATTGGACCCTTGATGGAAAGGAATTATTCTATGGATTCTTGGCCCCTTTTCCCTGCAATCTGAATTTTAAGAAAGAGTGAGCTGACGCATTAGCTCGGTGTTATAACACCAAGGTCAAGGGTTCAGAACCCCCATACCAGTCAGCTGCCAAAAAAACAAACAAGAAAGAAAAGAAGAGAAAGAGAGAAAGAGAGAGAGAGGGAAGACTTTGGCCTTGACTCTAAATGAGGTGGAAGCCATGGGAGGTTTTGAGCAGAGTAGGGATCCCTCTGGCTTATGTGGGGAGCAAGGACATGGGGGGGCTACAGGGGAGACCTGTGATGGGGCTACAGGGTATTTGTAGAGTGGAGGAAGCTTGTTCTGTGCCTGCTTTGTATTCGGCAGTGTAACCACAGTCTCAAACTCAGTTTCAACATCTGTAAAATAGGGAGGAGGTTCCCCTGGACCAGAGCTGGAAAAGACTTGCCAAGTGAAAAGTTAGTCCATCCCTTCTTCTTCCCTGAAAGCCAGTCTTCGATACCCACCTGCCTCCTTGTGGAGGTCTAACAGGTGTTTCAGTCTCAGTTTGGCCATTGTGGGGAGCTGGTCTCCACCACCCCACCTGCTCACCAGCTCCACCAGCTGCAGGGGTCGCCTTTGACTCCTTTCTCACCCCCTCACCACTCTATCAGCTCTAGTCTCAAATTGCATCCAGAACGGCCCCTCCTCACCTCCCCACCACTACACCCTGATCAGAACCACATTCTCTCTGGAATACCCCATAGCTCCATCATGAGTCTCTGGCAGTTGCCCCCCCCCCCCCCTTATATTCCTTGCTTCTCACATCAGCCAGAGGGATCTCCCCTCTGCTCAAAACTGTCCCATGGCTCCCACCTCACTCAGAGTCAAGGCCAAGTCATGGCCCATGGCAGTCAGACCCTCAGTACCTCTCTGCTCTCAATTCCCATATCTCTCCTCCTCCCTCCTCCTCTCCAGCCACACTGGCTGCTCCAGCACACCAAGGTCCTTCCCTTGGGGCCTTGGCATTGGCTGCTCCCTTGGCCTAGACTCTGTTCCCTGCAGATATCCATATGGCCTGCTTCCTTTTCTCTTCCAGGTCTCTGCTCACATGTCACCTCCTCAGAGAGACTTTCTGACTATTGAAAGATTTCTTTGGTCTGCTTAATTTTTCATCTTAGAGCCCACCATGTCCTAGCATGATTTATTATTATTTATTAGGTTGGTTTTCTGTGCCCCCAGCAAAATGCCAGCTTGTGAAGGGCAGGGGTTTTTGTCTGTCTTGTTCTAGTACCTGGCACAGAGTAGGCACTCAGTACAATTTGTTGAATGGATGAAGAATTCAACAGCCAGTAGGTGGCTAATGAGGACATTCCAGGCACTGTGGGGAGTTTGGGACTCCTGATTCTTACTTCCTTCACCCTCACCTCCTCTTTGAGCCCCTTCAGGAAGATACCAGAGCAGAAAGGAGAACACTTCCCACCAGTGCTGCGTCTCCTGGAGAAGAGGCAAGAGCTGGTGGATGCAGACCGGGCCCTGAGGGCCCAGAAGGAGGTGAGCCCCAGCTGCCAGAAAGACAAAGGTGGTGAGTAGGGGGATGGATGAGAAGTGGTGGAAACAACTTATCAATTACAAGGTCTGAGACAAGTCATTTCACCACTCTGAGTCTTGATTTCCTCATCTGTCAAATGGGGATCAAGTGAGACCAGTTGTTGGTGCAAATAAATTTGTGTGCATTGAGCACCTACTATGTTCTGGGCACTGCACTGGGATATGAGGTCTCACCATGGGGTCCCTACCTCATGGGGCTCACAGTCTAGAGAGGAAAACAGACAAGTGCAGGTGTTGACTGCTGGGGCAGAGGGTGGGGGGTGGTGGTAGAAGGGAGAAGTTGAGGGACCCCAAAGGAAGCCCTTACTTCTGCATGGGAGTGGTCAAGGAGGGCTTCCTGGAGGAAGTGATGTCTTAGGGATTGCTGAAGGGCAAGTCAGCTTATCCAGTAAAGGGGATGAGTAGGAAAAATCAAGCAGAGGAACATCATATGCAAAAACTGGAAGGCAAGGACAGAACACAGGTGGTCAAGTGACTGGAAGACAGTGTCAGAGGAGAGAGGGTAAGATGGGATCTGAAGGAAGGGCAGGGACAATGGCATTCAGGGGCTACAGAGAGCATTTGGGCTTCATGAGCAGTGATGAGAGCCACGGGTGGATTTGGGCAGGAGAGCAGCCACAAGATCAGGGACGGGGGCCGGGCCGGTGGCGCACTGCTACAGTGCGCCGCTTGGGAGTGTGGTGGCGCCCCCTCCGAGGGTTCGGATCCCACATACAGACCGGTTCCCGCTCACTGGCTGAGCGAGGTGTGGGGGCAACACCGAGGGTTGCGATCCCGTTGCCGGACACGAAAAAAAAAAAAAAAAAAGATCAGGGACGATAGATGGACGGGGTTAGGTGTGAGACTGAAATCATTGGATGATTTGAGTCCCCAAACACACATAGACAGCCCACTCCTCACCCGCAGGTGTACCAGACCACGCTGGCAGCCTTGAAACAGCGCTGGGAACAGCTGGAACAGAAGAAGCAGGAGCTAAAGGGGTCCTTTGTCCGCTTTGACAAGTTCTTGCAGGTAGATGGAGCCTGCTGGCGGGAGGTGGGTCACAAGGGAGGACACCTCACAACCCTATAGGGGCCTGACAGGTTACATAAATAAAAGTAGGTTTTTTTTTTTTTTTTTTAAAGATGACCGGTAAGGGGATCTTAATCCTTGACTTGGTGTTGTCAGCACCAGGCTCGTCAAGTGAGCCAACCGGCCATCCCTATATAGGGATCCAAACCTTGTTAACAGCACCACACTCTCCCGAGTGAGCCACGGGCCGGCCCCTAAAAGTAGGTTCTAGAAATACAAAAGGGAATGGTGGGAAGTACACACATACTGCCTGAAGCTTTGAGTTAAAAAAAAAAAAAAAAAAAAAAAGGGGGGGGGA